TGGTTGAGCTTGAACGGTGGCAGTAGTTGAGGGTGGCGATGTGGTGGACGGAACGTCGATGACGGTGTGATCATCACGGAGTGGTCGTGCCTTCTTTGCTTGTCGATTCTCTTCCTCAAATTGCACTCGGCCGTGCGGATTCCGGCACACGTATTTGTTGCTGATTACGCATAAGACGCACTCCGTTTCCTGCATTATATTTAAACTGAATAAATTGTCTAATTCCTTTGATTAAAAAAGGGAAAAAAGAATTAAACAACAAAAATACGTATATAAAAACTGAGAGAATATTTGTGCCCTAAGAATGTATATGCAGCCTATAGCGAGGGCCACAATGGCGTTACGACAAAAGCACACTCTCCAGATCAATCACATCATAATGAAGATAGTTATTTGTGGCCTTTTGCAATTAACCGATTGATTTTTATACCCTAATCATATTCGCGGTCCATTGTAGATGGATCATACACACATTTATATCGTCGATCAAACCCCAATTACTGCTTTTGAATTGGATAGAACTAGTTAGGATCCATAAAGAGCACCGGAATTAAGTAAATGAGCACCTTCAAACGTACAAGATTGTGAAACGTTGACATGGAACGAATATCGTGCCTAAGGTATTCATATCGACAAAAGCATTAAGGAAGATATAGCAACCAAACATGTATTCGGATGATTAGTAACCGAACAGAATAGGGAAAGAAACACATACATTGTGCGGATGCTTCGAGTACTCGTACATGATCCAGTGCCCATTCTCGGCCTTGTCGGCTTCCCCGCTCGAGCTAGCTTTCGGTTCAAAGGTAAAGAGTTTCTTGTAGCCGACTACCTCACCTTGCGAACCCCTGATCTTGTAACTCTGTTCGCCCTTCCAAGTACCCGAGCCAGCAGTCCTGTCCACTCTCGATTTGTTCTTCTTCTTCAACGTGGTGAAAACGTAGAACTTCTCGTCTCTGTCCTTGCCAAAGATCTTCCAGGGATCACCGCCGCCGTACACGTCGCAATCGCGGACGACGTCCGGATCCGGCAACGGTTCTCGATTCAGCCTCCGCATCAAGTAATTGAAAAAGAGCTCATCATCGGTGGGTAGAAAGCAAAGTCCGCGATACCAAATCGCCATCGTATTGAACTCAAAAGCGATGACAAAATCTCTTTCTTCTTCTCTGGCTTTTGTTGTTTTCGAACCAGAGATGTTCGCTGTTGGCTCTCATGTGCTTTTTTTTATAAACGTGGACCAAGTAGGCTACGGGATTAATGTACACAGATTGGAGATCACCGTCCCATATTTGATGGAGTATTTATCTTGAATCTTGACAATTCTTGGATAAACTGGATTGCTTGGCGTGAGATTATTGGAGGACTTAACTAATTCAAAGCCATTGTTATCCAAAGCCAATTCAAACCCGACTTCAAACATTACTTCATGTCAAACCTTTTCCGGTCAATAGTTCAAATTTCATGTGGATAATCTTCGGTCCATCTTTCGTGACAATTCATGATATACTTCATAGATTCTTGCATAAATACTCAACTAAAACAACTGCGCTAAGGTAAAGTCAACCAAGTTTAGGAACTTTATCCTCAAACAAATGAGGTTCTTGGATAAATTCTCGAAAGGTTAAAAAAAACGTCTTTCCTTTTTTAGCAATATCCTGGCATGGCCAACTATATCATTTGGATTTCTTTGATTATTTGATAATCAGGTCAATAACGATGAAGAAAAAATGGAAAAAGAAAAGCTAGTAAAGATATTGATTAATGGGTCAATGGCTGGCCAACTAGATATAACTATATTTTCAAATGTTTTCTTCTTATGCACACAAAAATTAATAGGAGATCATTTGCCCGTGCAAACTAGGAGTAATGTGACTTTAAACATGTAAATGTCTATACATTTGTTTAAATCATATTCATAAATCCCAATTGCCTTTGTATTTTGTCACTTTTCAATTTTATAACTTCTGGATAATACCTGATAACTTCATTTGTAGGAATAAATTGTAGGGCCTATTTGTTCTTGATTAGCAAAAGTGAAAATATTCTTTTGAATTCCCTCCAAAATTTGAAGATCATCCAAATTTAAAAAAAAAATGCAAAAGTATAAGGGAGTTTACGTGCCAACATTTGTATGTTGTCAAAACGTATGGTAGTGAGATTCGATTAAAGAAAAAATTAAGAGTAAAATTCAATCCGCCAGACATGCCATACAGTGTTTAAATTACCATGTGCTTATAGATTTTCCACGTGTAATGATTCTAGTACTTTAGGATATGAGTTGGAAGATGTATAACACCTAAGATTTTCCAATGATTATGAACCTACTAAAATTTATGCTTAAAATTCAAACCCCTTCAAATGGAAAAATTCTAGAGATCCTTTGCTCAAATCACAGATCAAGCAACTAAGATTGGTAAAATTCAACGAATAATAGTACTTTCTCAAATAATAAATGTCAAGTAAGTTGGTTATGCATTACTAAAATGGATCTTGCTAATCACTGCTCAAATGGTACTTGTTAAATAAGCAATTTTTTTATTTTCAATCTATTAATTGTGCATATTACGACGATAGTTAGTGCATTGAAAATGATAATATTTTTTTATTTGATTATTTAACAAATGTCTTATGGACATTCTTTTAAACAAAATCCTAATAAGACATATGAGAGTCGATTTGAAGATTGTCATTTCTGCAGGGTTAGATTCAGGACTAATACATCAGACTGAGCAAGGCGTTGAGTTCACAAAATTGTTCTTGTTTAAACCTCTTATTCCATGTTGCATATATAAAATACTCATATGTTTAAAAGGTGCGTATAACAATTAGTAAATAATCTTTGATACACTAATAATTTTTAAATAGCAATGACCAATTTTACTTTCATACGACAAGACTTACCATTTAACATGTTTTATGATGCATAGCAATCTATATAACATATTTATTCAGTACATAAAAATTAATTTTTAACTTTGTGTCCAAAGACTTAAATACCCTCTGTTGAGAATATGTTTATAGTTTGAGCGAGATTCCTAATTTGAGTAGGTTCTCTAAAAGATGTGTATGTTTATATGTATTCTACTCTGATATCAGATACAATAGGGCAAACAAGAGGAGTATCGGATTTTCTTTCTGTGAATCAATATATATTGATTATGCATATTACGAAAATGCTAAGAGAGACTACTGACTACCTCAAATGAGGATCCTCTACACCAGCATGAATTTCTCACAACTCATCAGATCCACATCCCAAGACCACGCTATGATCTGAAATCTTCACTTCATGACATGGCTGCTGCAAAATTTCTGTAAAAACACTACACAAGAATAATCACACCATGACCAGAAGATACTATTACCACCGGTCCATCCCTCTCAGATCCAATTCGACATTCGCTCCCATAGAAACGGGAGGCTGCTGCTATTCTTGTTTATCTCGATGGGCTCGATATTGATGCGAACAACTTAGCTCGGTAAGCAAGAGCTTCTGGCTTGACTGTCGCATTCGTCGATCCTCCCCCTGAAGGTCAGCAGCAGATCACATTTGCATACACGGAACCGTGCATTCCGAGCATACGAAGTGATAGCTCACCCGAGCTTGAGTCAAAGACCCCCCCAAACTACTAGTGACGGGGGATCCCGGCAAGTTCTGCGAACCTTCTCAAATCCTCACCGGAATCTCAACGGCCCCCTCCCACGGAGCAAAATGGCTATGAACCTCACCATCTCTTCCAAATGAACCTCACCATCTCTTCCAAGTGCACCTCATAAGGCCTTAGGTGACCACGACGTGTACCCCGACGACTTGACGGGCGCATTCCAGTTTGGAACCACAAGCTTCTGTCTATATCCTTCGGTATATTGACCAAAACCCGACCAGGCCTCCCTGAATTTGCTACCTAACATGCCTTGCTGATGTGGCTCGCTGATGTGGTTTGACAAATGCCGTCGGATTAAAGTCAGTCTTGCCTGGTGATTGTATCAAGTGCCAATGAACTAAGTGATTCACGACCCAAAAAAGAAAAAAAAAACACTAAGTGATTATATCGCTTCATTGGGTCCAAAAATTGACACAGTGGAATGAAATGCAAAATTAGAAACCAACATGAGAAATTACGTAGTGTTTGTTGTGCCCCGCCACGTATCATGAGTCCGCATTGCCATAACTAGATCTGTCAAAATGAGTCACAAACCTATGTCTTAATCCATATATTAGTAAATGAGTCATAAATGTGTTAGTTATATGTAGTAAATAAGTCATAAATAGGTATAGGTATAATATGGGTGTTAAATGGGTCGTAAACGAGTCATAAATTAATTTACAACTTATTTAAACTTAACTCATCTCTCTCGCCCTCACTCAATCTTGCGCTTACTCACTCCGCACTCTCATATTAGTTTAGGTATCAGTTTTCCTAAATTTAGTTAAATATAGAAGTGTTTTAGCAATATGGGTCGGATTGGGTATGGATCGAGTATGGGTCGAATCGGGTATGGGTCAAGAAAATTGCATTGTGCATAAATGGGTTATACTGGGTCAATTTGGGTCGGACCATTTGTGACCCGACCCAAATCTGACTCGATCCATTCATTTGACAGGTCTAGCCACAACCATTGTAGCGGGAGTTCTACGAAACCGACATGTTTGACCGAGTGACGATCCATTGATAGTTCAAAGTTTCGGTGTCCACTACTAAGAGAAATGGTTTTAACACGATTATTCATATAAACATATAATTGAAAGAGCAAGTGAACAAAGGCTATTCAGTGCCACTACAGAAAGTATACAATCGATACAAATATCATCATCGGGGCATTTTGCTGATTTTGATCTGGAGCTGTATGAGCAAAACTTATCTCGAAGATCACGAACATTTCATATATAATCATAGTCATAATGGTTACATCGACGAGAGCTAATTGTTGCAATGAAAAACATGATGTTCAGCAATTCTCCAAGTAACGAGCTAGTACAGGGGCTAAAGTCTCAGAAACTAATAAGGCCAATTGGGTGCAATTTCTTCCGGGTGCGACTCCAAGACGTTGTTCCTTGCATGAAGAGCTCGAGCGCGTTGCTTGACGACCGTACACAAGAGGTACTTGACCAACGGACTTATCTCCATATTCTTCAACTGATCCGCCCATTCAGGGTCCACCATGGGTGCTGCCGTCGGAGAAAGCGGACCAGCGTTTGCGCCACCAAAAGCCGAGGAAGCCGTGAGGCGGGTATCTTCTCGTATGTTCGCTGCTGTTGGAGGAAGCGCATTGGCATTTCTGTCGCTGTGAAAAGCCGGGGATTCAGTGGCGCAGCAGATGCCATTCTGTGGAATGACAACTTCGTCTTCGTCGAAAGCCAGGGAAGTGGATGGTTGAGCTTGAACGGTGGCGGTAGTTGAGGGTGGCGATGCGGCGGAAGGAATGTCGATGACAAAGGCGGCGGTAGGCATGTGGTGCCGCCAAAGGCCAGGGAACTGGAACCACAGGTATCTTGTTGCACTGCCGTCATGGTCGTAAGAAGCGAATTGACATCATTTGCATCGCTGCAAGAAGCCTGGAAAGTGGTGTGGCGAGTATCTTCTTGCACAAGGTTCATCACGCTCGTAAGCTGCTAATCGTCGAAAGGATCCATTTCCATATTCATAAGCTGATGCGCCCATTCACTGTCAACCCCTCGTGCTGCCATGCTCGTCGGAGGAAGCGGATCGGCACTTGGGCCGCCAAAAGCCCAGCAAGCCGCATTGCAGGTATCATTTTACATTGCCGTCGACGTCGTCGTAGGATTGAGGCATCTGGTGCCACCAAAGGCCAGGGAACTGGAACCACAGGTATCTTGTTGCACTGCCGTCATGGTCGTAAGAAGCGAATTGACATCATTTGCATCGCTGCAAAAAGCTTGGAAAGTGGTGTGGCGAGTATCTTCTTGCAAAAGGTTCATCACTGTCGTAAGCTGGTAATCGTCGAAAGGATCCATTTCCATATTCATAAGCTGATGCGCCCATTCACTGTCAACCCCTCATGCTGCCACGCTCGTCGTAGGAAGCGGATCGGCACTTGGGCTGCCAAAAGCCCAGCAAGCCTCATTGCAGGTATCTCCTTGCATGTTTTCTGCTGCTGGTGGAAGCGAATTGGTGTTTCCGTTGCTGTGAAAAGCCTGGGAATCAGCGGCGATGTCGTTTTGCACTGCCATCGTCGTCGTAGGATTGAGGCATGTAGTGCCGCCAAAAGCCAGGGAACTGGCACCACAAGTATCTTGTTGCACCGCTGTCATTGTCGTAAGAAGTGAATCCACATCATTTTCATCGCTGCAAAAAGCCGGGAAAGTGATGTGGTGGGTATCTTCTTGCAAGACGTTCATCGTGGTCATGGGAAGCCAATGGGTATCCCTGTCTCCGCTGAGAGCCAGGGAATCATATGTGCAGTCACGAGTCGATCGATCTAGCGTTCCCACACCCGTGCGGCCTTAGGAATTTCTCTCCAAGTAAGCCTTCCCACACTCACACTCACAAGAACTTTAGAGAGAGAAACTCTAGAGAGAGAAGCTTTGAACTTTCTATTGTTTCTTGGAAATGAGAGATGATAAAATGAAGGGGAGGAGACCTCATTATATACAAGTATCGGGCTGACCGTATCCGTAGATCTCTCCCCGATCTCAATGGTCGAGATCGTACTCCCCTAACTATCCCACCTACCGCATTTATTACGGAATGGTACAATTACCGTATCGCCCGCCCCCAGGAGTATTCTAGAAGACATCAAGAAAACCCTAGTACTAGAACACTCGGGGCCCGCCTTCTTGTCCAAGGGTCCGTCACGGTCCATCGTCCAGAAAACCTCACAAATGATCCAATTCTTCGGGCCGTGACACAGAGGATGTCCTTTGGCACGGTCGTCGTCATCGTAGGATGCGAATAGAGGTTGGCGTTGCCAGCAAAATCCACAATCGGAGTCACGACAGGAGGTGGATTGAAAACAGCGTCTTCGTCGAAACCCGGGAAAGCGGCAAGTTGAGCTTGAGTGGCGGCCGAAGCTGAGGGCGGAGATGCAGTGGAAGGATCGTCGACGGCATTTGGGTGATCATAGCAGAGTAGGCGTGCCTTCTTGGCTAGTCGATTCTCTTCTTCAAGTTGCACCCGGCTGCGCAGCTTTCGGCACTCCTCCTTGTTTACTTTTCGGGCGTATTTGTTGCTGATTACGCATAAGACGCATTTTGTTTCCTGCATGACATTTAGACAAAATGAATTAGCATTTCCCCAAGATTAAAGAAAAATAAAATAAGAAGAGATTATAACCCATATGAACGGTATGATAGCAAAAATGTGTCCTAGCAATGTACATGCAACCTAGTGGGAGCCAACGTCGTGTTATGGCGAAATCACACTTTCTTGATCAACCAAGTCAAGATTTACAATTAACTGATAAATCAAAGAATTCCTTTTATACCCTAATCTTTCTGTGGACGGATCATAAACACAGTTATATTATCCATCAAACCCTAACTAATGCTTAAAAGTTGGATCAAAATAGTTAGGATCCACAAAAAGCACCAAGTTAAAGATATCAAGACACTTAACTCATTATACATAATTCGTGTTTAGGAGTCGGGCGTGTCACTTTAATATAAAATTATAATATTAAGTAAATTGATCTGAATATGATCTTTTTAATAATCAAGTAAGAAAATTCAATTCGAGCACGACCTATTTATTAAATAGGTATGAGAATATCAACGATATAACTCATTAAATTAGTCAAATTGAGTAAACTTAATCTAAATGTGGCAAAAAAAACCGTAATGAGATCTTTGAAGTAAAATTCAACTTTTATGACTCATTTCACGAAATTGATGTGCTTAATAAGTTAATAGTATTCTAAACACAATCAAATAATTTTTAGAAAGATTTAATAAAATTGCGAATTTTTTTTTCTTGCTTAATCCATAGAAAAATTTGATTTTCATCCTCAACAATCCAGAAGAAATTTATAAGTAATGTCTCTATTCATTTATATTACAGTCAGTCAGTCATCACTAGTAAGAAGTAGAAAAATATAGCTAATTTAATTTAAATTGGTCAATTTTCACCTATATTACAGAAAAATTATGTTAATGAGCACTTACTAATCATTATTAATGAGAAGAAATTTAATTTTCCATTGAGTTAATTACATGAGAAAAGTCTATGTATTTACCCTAAGCCTCACGAGGAAAATCTCACTCCCTCCTGAGTTAGTCCTCATCATATTTAATCTGAATAAATTATCCTTTCCCTTTGATAAAAAAAATAGAAGGAAATTAAACAACCAAAATACATATATCAAACGAATGATAGAACGCCGACCAAAAACAAAACGTATGATAGTGTAATTATGCCCAGGAATGTACATGCAATCCAGAATTGAGTTATGGTAAAAGAAGATACTATCTTGATCAATCAAGTCACAATGAGAATGGTCTATATTGCGTTTAAGACGAGACCGGTTGATATCAATAGAAGTATGAAGAAAGATATACCGACCAAACGTGTATTTGGAATATTTCACAACCGAAGAGGAAAGAGACACTTACAATGTGGGGATGTGTCGAGTACTCGTACATGATCCAGTGCCCATTCTCGGCCTTGTCAGCTTCTGCATTCGAGCCGGCTTTCAGTTTGAAAGTGAAGGGTTTCTTGTAGCCAACTAGCTTACCTCGCGAATCCCTGATTCCGTGGCTCTGTTCGCCCTTCCAAGTACCTGAGCCAGCAGTCCTATCCACTCTCGATTTGTTCTTCTTCTTCAACACGGTGAAGACATAGAACTTCTCGTCCCAATCCTTGTCGAAGATATTCCAGGGATCGCCGCCGCCATACACGTCGCAATCGCGAACGATGTCCTGATCGGGCAGCGGTTCTTGATTCAGCCTCCGCAACAAGTAATGGAAATAGAGATCTTCGTCGGTGGGTTGAAACGAAAATCCGGGATGCCTAATCGCCATCGTAATGAACTCGAAGAGATGACGGAATCTCTCCTTCTTCTTCTCTGGCTTTTGTTGTTTTCGAACGAGAGATGTTCGCTCTCATGTGCTTTTATAAACGTGGGTGGACCGATTACTTTGTAGTGAAGGCAACGGGATTAATGAACACAGATAGATGATCTCACTCCCATATTTGATGGAGTATTTATCTTGAATCTTGACGATTCTTGGATAAACTGTATTGCTTGGCGTGAGATTATTGGAGGACTTAACTAATTCAAAGCCAACTTCAAACATTACTTCATGTCAAACCTTTTCCGGTCAATAGTTCAAATTTCATGTGGATAATCTTCGGTCCATCTTTCGTGACAATTCATTATATACTTCATAGATTCTTGGATAAATACTCAACTAAAACAACTGCGCTAAGGTAAAGTCAACCAAGTTTAGGAACTTTATCCTCAAACAAATGAGGTTCTTGGATAAATTCTCGACAGGTTAAAAAAAGTCGTCTTTCCTTTTTTAGCAATATCCTGGCATGGCCAACTATATCATTTGAATTTCTTTGATTATTTGATAATCAGGTCAATAACGATGAAGAAAAAATGGAAAAAGAAAAGCTAGTAAAGATATTGATTAATGGGTTAATGGCTGGCCAACTAGATATAACTATCTTTTCAAATGTTTTCTTCTTATATACACAAAAATTAATAGGAGATTTGCCCGTGCAAAGTAGGAGTAATATGACTAGTCCTATATATCTGTTAACTAACAAATTGCAAGTAAACGTGTAAGTCTTTGTATATGTATCTGTTTAAATCATATTCATAAATCCCAATTGCCTTTGTATTTTGTCACTTTTCAATTTTATAACTTCTGGATAATACCTGATAACTTCATTGTAGGAATAAATTTTAGGGCCTATTTGTTCTTGATTAGCAAAAGTGAAAATATTCTTCCGATTTCCCTCCAAAATTTGAAGATCATCCAAATTTTAAAAAAAATATATGCAAAAGTATAAGGGAGTTTACATGCCAACATTTGTTTGTTGTCAAAACGTATGGTAGTGAGATTTCGATTAAAGGAAAAATTAAGAGTAAAATTCAATCCGTCAGACATGCCATACGGTGTTTAAATTACCATGGCTAATAGATTTTCCACATGTAATGATTCTAGTACTTTAGGATACGAGTTGGAAGATGTATAACACCTAAGATTTTCCAATGATTATGAACCTACTAAAATTTATGCTTAAAATTCAAACCCCTTCAAATGGAAAAATCTAGAGATCCTTTGCTCAAATCACAGATCAAGTAACTAAGATTGGTAAAATTCAACGAATAATAGTACTTTCTCAAATAATAAATGTCAAGTAAGTTGGTTATGCATTACTAAAATGGATCTTGTTAATCACCGCTCAAATGATACTTGTTAAATAAGCAATTTTTTTATTTTCAATCTATTAATTGTGCATATTAGGGCGATAGTTAGTGCATTGAAAATGACAATATTTTTCTTATTTGATTATTTAACAAATGTCTTAAGGACATTCAATTAAACACAATCCTAATAAGACATAAGAGGTCGATTTGAAGATACTATAAATCAATACATTTGAGAAAGTGATTTTCAGGGTTAAATTCAGGACTAATACATCAGACTGAGCAAGGCGTTGAGTTCACAAAATTGTTCTTGGTTAAACCTCTTATTCCATGTTGTAGATATAAATTACACATATGGTTAAAAGGTGCGTATAACAATTAGTAAATAATCTTTGATGCACTAATAATTTTTACATAGCAATGACCAATTTTGCTTTCATATGACAAGACTTACCATATAGCGTGTTTTATGATGCATAGCAATCAATATAACATATTTATTCGGTACATAAAAATCAATTTTTAACTTTGTGTCCAAAGATTGAAATACCCTCTAATGAGAATATGTTTCTAGTTTGAGCGGGATTTCTAGCTTGAGTAGGTTCTCCAAAAGATGTGTGTGTTTATATGTATCCTACTTTGATATCGGATACAATAGGGCAAACAAGAGGAGTATAGGATTTTCTCTCTGTGAATCATTATATATTGATTATGCATATTACGATAATGCCAAGGGAGACTACCTCAAATGAGGACCCTCTACACCAGCATGAATTTCTCACAACTCATCAGATCCACAACCCAAGACCACGCTATGATCTGAAATCTTCACTTCATGACATGACTGCTGCAAAATTTCTGTAAAAACACTACGCAAGAATAATCACACCACAACCAGGAGATACTATTACCACCGGTCCATCCCTCTCAAGTCCAATTCGACATTCGCTCCCATAGAAACGGGAGGCGGCTGCTATTCTTGTTTATCTCGATGGGCTCGATATCGATGCGAACAATCTTAGCTCGGGAAGCAAGAGCTTCTGGCTTGACTGTCGCATTCGTCGAACATCCCCCCGAAGGCGAGCAACAGATCACATTTGCATACACGGAGCCGGGCATTCGGAGCATACGAAGTGATAGATCACCCGAGCTTGAGTCGAAGACCCCCTCAAACTACTAGTGACGAGGATCCCGGCAAGTTCTGCGAACCTTCTCAAATCCTCACTGGAATCTCAACGGCCCCCTCCCACGGAGCAAAATGGCTATGAACCTCACCATCTCTTCCAAGTGCACCTCATAAGGCCTTAGGTGACCTCGACGGGTACCCCGACGACTTGACGGGTGCATTCCAGTTCGGAACCACGAGCTTTTGTCTATATCCTTAGGTATATCGACCAAAACCCGACCAGGCCTCCCTGAATTTGCTACCTAACATGCATTGCTGATGTGGTTCGGCAAATTCCGTCTGATTAAAGTCAGTCTAGACTGGTGATTGTATTAAGCACCTATGAATACAAGTGATTATATATCACTGCATTGATTCGAAAAAAATTAACACAGTGGAAGAAATGCAACATTAACTTGATCATTTTTTAAATTTGAACCAATATGAGATATTATATCGTGTTCCCCGTCCCTCTCGCATATCATGAGTCCGCATTGCCACAACCATATTGTACTGGCAGTTCGTCATCGATGTCGGAGTTTTACAAACCGACATGTTTGACCGAGTTACGATCCGTTGATAGTTCAAAGTTTCTGTGTCCGCTACTAACTGAAAAGGTTTTAACATGATCTTTCATATAAACATATATTTGAAAGAGCAAGTAAACGAAGGCTATTCAGTGCCACTGCAGAAAGTATACAATTGATATAAATATCATCATCAGGCATTTTGCTGATTTTGATATGGAGCTGTATGAGTAAACTTATGTTATATATAACGAACAACGGAATTGTATAGTACGAAATAACATAAAAACAGACTCATTAAAAAAAAACTCATAAAAAAAAGATATGAATGACCTTCTACTCAAATTCTTTCTTTTTGATAGGAATCAATAATAAGAAATATTGAAATCCGATTGGATTTCATCCATGTCTCCGCTGAAAGCCAGGGAATCGTATGCGCAGAGGATGTCCTGTGGCACGGTCGTCGTCGTCGTCGTCGTAGGATGCGAATAGAGGTTGGCGTCGCCAGCAAAATCCACAATCGGAGTCACGACAGGAGGTGGATTGAAAACAGCGTCTTCGTCGAAACCCGGGAAAGCGGCAGGTTGATCTTGAGTGGCAGCCGGAGCTGAGGGCGGCAATGCGGTGGAAGGATCGTCGACGGCATTTGGGTGATCATAGCAGAGTAGGCGTGCCTTCTTTGCTGGTCGATTCTCCTCTTCGAGTTGCACACGGCCGCGCAGCTTACGGCACTCCTTCTTGTTTACTTTTCGGGCGTATTTGTTGCTGATTACGCATAAGACGCACTCTGTTTCCTGCATCACATTTAGACAAAATGAATTAGCATTTCCCTATGTTAAAAAAAAATTAAGAAGAGGTTATAACCAATATGAACAGTATGATAGCAAAAATGTGTCCTAGCAATGTACATGCGACCTAGTAAGAGCCAAAGTCGTGTTATGGCGAAATCACACTTTCTTGATCAACCAAGTCAAGATTTACAATTAACTGATAAATCAAAGAATTCCTTTTATACCCTAATCTTTTATATTACCCGTCAAACCCTAGCTAATGCTTCAAAGTTGGATCAAAATAGTTAGGATCCACGAAAAGCACCAAGTTAAAGATATCAAGACACTTAACTCGCTATACATAATTCGTGTTTAGGAGTCGGGCAAGTCATGTCAATATAAAATTATATTTATTAAGTAAATAGATCTGAATATGGTCTATTTAATAATCGAGTCAGAAAATTCAATTCGAGCACCACCTATTTATTAAATAGGTATCATAACATCAACGATATAACTCATTAAATTAGTCAAATCGGGTAAACTTAATCTAAATGTGGCAAAAAAAACAGTAATGAGATCTTTGAAATAAAATTCAACTTTTATGACTCATTTCACGAAATTGATGTGCTTAATAAGTTAATAGTATTCTAAACACAATCAAATAATTTTTTAGACAGATTTAATAAAATTGCGAATTTTTTTTCTTACGTAATCCATAGAAAAATTTGATTTTCATCCTCAACAATCCAGAAGAAATTTATAAGTAATGTCTCTATTCATTTATATTACGGTCATCACTAGTATGAAGTAGAAAAATATAGCTAATTTAATTTAAATTGATCAATTTTCACTTATATTACAGAAAAATTATGTTAATGACTGTATTGAGCACTTATTAATCATTATAACTATTTCATCATCACGAGGAAAATCTCAGTCCCTCCTGACTCCTGAGTTAGTCCTCATTATATTTAATCTGAATAAATTACCCTTTCCCTTTGATAAAACAAAATAGAAAGAAATTAAACAACTAAAATACGTATATCAAACGTATGATAGAATGCCGACCAAAAAAAAAAACATATAATAGAATAATTATGCCCAGGAATGTACATGCAACCCATAATTGAGTTACGGTAAAAGCAGATACTATCTTGATCAATCAAGTCACAATGAGAATGTTCTATATCGTGTTTAAGACAAGCACGGTCCATATCAAAAGAAGTACGAAGAAAGATATACCGACCAAACGTGTACTTGGAATATTTCATAACCGAAGATGAAAGAGACACTTACAATGTGGGGATGTGTCGAGTACTCATACATGATCCAGTGCCCATTCTTGGTCTTGTCGGCTTCCGCATTCGAGCCGGCTTTCGATTTGAAAGTGAAGAGTTTCTTGTAGCCAACTAGCTTACCTCGTGAATCCCTGATTTCGTGGCTCTGTTCGCCCTTCCAAGTACCCGAGCCAGCAGTCCTATCCACTCTCGATTTGTTCTTCTTCTTCAACATGGTGAAAACATAGAACTTCTCGTCCCAATCCTTGTCGAAGATATTCCAGGGATCGCCGCCGCCATACACGTCGCAATCGCGAACAACGTTCGGATCGGGCAGCGGTTCTTGATTCAGCCTCCGCAACAAGTAATGGAAAAAGAGATCTTCGTCGGTGGGTTGAAACGAAAATCCGGGATGCCTAATCGCCATCGTAATGAACTCTTTAGCGATGACGGAATCTCTCCTTTTTCTTCTTTGGCTTTTGTTGTTTTCGAACGAGAGATGTTCGCTCTCATGTGCTTTTATAAACGTGGGTGGACTGATTACTTTGTAGTGAAGGCAACGGGATTAATGAACACAGATAGATTATCTCACTCCCTTATTTGATAGAGTATTTATCTTGAATCTTGACGATTCTTGGATAAACTGTATTGCTTGGCTTGAGATTATTGGAGGACTTAACTAATTCAAACCCGACTTCAAACATTACTTCATGTCAAACCTTTTCCGGTCAGTAGTTCAAATTTCATGTTGATAATCTTCGGTCCATCTTTCGTGACAATTCATGATATACTTCATAGATTCTTGGATAAATACTCAACTAAAACAACTGCGCTAAGGTAAAGTCAACCGAGTTTAGGAACTTTATCCTCAAACAAATGAGGTTCTTGGATAAATTCTCGATAGGTTAAAAAAAAACGTCTTTCCTTTTTTAGCAATATCCTGGCATGGCCAACTGTATCATTTGAATTTCTTTGATTATTTGATAATCAGGTCAATAACGATGACGAAAAAATGGAAAAAGAAAAGCTAGTAAAGATATTGAATATTGGCTTAATGGCTGGCCAAGGCCAACTAGATATAACTATATTTTCAAATGTTTTCTTCTTATATACACAAAAATTAGTAGGAGATTTGCCCGTGCAAAGTAGGCGTAATATGACTAGTCCTATATATCTGTTAACTAACAAATTGCAAGTAAACGTGTAAGTCTTTATATATATATCATATTCATAAATCCCAATTGCCTTTGTTTTTTTCTCACTTTTCAATTTTTTAACTTCTGGATAATACGTGATAATTGTAGGAATAAATTTTAGGACCTATTTGTTCTTGATTGACAAAAGTGAAAATATTCTTTCAATTTCGCCCCCAAAATTTGAAGATTATACAAATTAAAAAAAAATGCAAAAGTGTGAGGGAGTTTACGCGCCAACATTTGTGAGTTGTCAAAATGTATGGTAGTGAGATTTCATTTAAAAGAAAAGTAAAGAGTAAAATTCAATCCGTCAGATATGTCATATAATGTTTTAAATTACGATGTGCTAATTGATTTTCCACATGCAATGATTCTAGTACTTTAGGATACAAGTTGGAACATGTATAACACCTAAGATTTTTCAATGATTATGAACCTACTAAAATCTATGCTTAAAATTCAAACCCCTTTAAACGCCATACGGAGTTTAAATTATCTCTCCCGTAATTTCGCGATGATTTAATTGCAAGATCTGATTAGCTTCCGCGTTATATTACAACACCCTCCTTTTCAATTTTCTACACCACAATGAGCAAAGAGCAAATTAGAATTTTTATTAACGACAAAATTTGACATTATCTCATAAATCATCGACAATTAATTATGTTATTGCTATCATGTTTCTTCAACTCGTGTGGCGCTTCGGTTCGTCTGAGTGGAGGCCTCTGTCTCGTGGTTTTGAGCTGGTGATGCGTTCGTTTGTCATTTGGTAGATCGATTGACATTGCCGCAGCAACTGAGAAGTACTTGGATGAATTCACACATCCGATCATGGTGAGATTACTTGTGCATGACATTTGGTTCTTCTTCTTCGGTTGAGTTCATGCACGACAATTGGTGATCCTCTGTTATGTTTTCCGTTTGATAGTTTCCTAGAATATCAGTTGGATTAAAGTCTTTTGGCTCACTGTTTGCTACATCTTCTCTGTTGCTGTTTATATTCATGCGCATTATCTTGGTTAAGGCTATCTTATGGTTTTGTTTGAATGTGTAGGGAACATACAAGAGTAAACAAACGATGCGTATATTATTGTGCTATACCTTCCATTTAGTGTTGAACGATAAGGTTTCTGTCTAAGTTCAAAAGTTGGTCGAAGGTCTATTTAATATTTGCCTGCTGGGTATGCGTATGCTTCTAGAATGCTGACCGCTGAAAGCCGGAACCTAGCTGATTTTCGAGCAGGAAATGGTAGTGGATTTTTGATGAGGTTACATGATATAGCGAAACTGGACAACGGTATTGGTGTATTGTAAGTAGGGGTGAGCAGGTTTTAGGTTCTTTATAGGTTCTACTTGAAACCTGGGACCTACCCTCGGGTACAGATTTCTCGTATTTTGGAACCTGAAACCTACCCGTCGAAATTTGGAAACTGGAACCTACCCTGTCACAGGTTCCATGGTAGGTTCTAAAGTCTAACATGTTCTTTTTTATTTTATTTGATTATGAAAATGAACACAACAATACCGAACAGGTTGTCATTCACCAAAAAGAATACCAAAGACTAATTTTCCTAGCATTACGGTTCAAATAAATACCATTAAAATGAGAAGTCATTGCGTGAATCGATATTAGGAATGAGCGGTCCATGTTCCGTATAGGTTCCACCTAGAACCTATCCTAGAACCTACTTATGATAATAGGTTCCTCATTTTTTAAAACTTGAAACCTACCATATTACAGGTTCAAGATCTACCCAAGTTCCACTTGTATCATTAATTAAATAATTACAGTGAATTATCACCTTTAATGACAACCACTTGCTGCTGTGATCCATTGACCACAACTTATATTTAGACACATGAAGAATATGAAACATTAACAAGTCATAAAATAAAAGCTCAGACTAGTGGTTCCAGATTATACACTCATCATTAATACTATGAAATACTATAGGATCACGCAAAGACATAGATCAAGAAAAAAATACAAAAAACTCTTTTAGGTTTAAGGTTCCAAGTTCCAGGTCCACCTGTAATTTGGAACCTGCCCGTCAAAACAGGTTCTCTAATTTTTGGAATCTGGAACGTACATATTCCCAACGATTGGGTTCTCAGGTTCCAGGTTCTACCCTGTAATCATGCTCACCCCTAATTGTAAGGCACGGATTATTTTCTGAAATAAAATCTTATAATTTGCACATTCCTAGTAAGGCATTGAGTATTTAGTTAAATTGTTCATCTCTTTCTTATACTTTCTCCTGAAAGTTCATGTAAACTTTTGTGCAAGCAGATTCATTCGCCATCACAGAATTCTTATTTTCTTGTCTTCTACATATTAATTGATCATAGGCATCATGAATTGATAAGCATTTATATACTTTGTCTTGCTAAAGCACTCAGCTAGATAGTCATTCGGAACATTTTTCTCGTGGTGTATTACACATATGACATGACAACATGAAAATCCACTAAGTTCCCAAGCTTTACAAGAACGAGTCTTCATATTCAAGTCAACAACGTATTTGTTACCACCTATTATAATCTCATATCATTGATTTCCATTCCAAATCAAATGGCAACACCTACTAGCAGTTGTATTTAGATGTAAGTTATGCACAATCCTTGGACCATAATTTCTAGTCCACCTATCACATGCATCCCTCTGAGTGTGCATGTAGAAGCAATATGTGAATGAATGTCAGTACAGCAATTAGAAGTAACAATGGGAGTGTTACCTGCTCAAGAAGGAGAGAGGCTTGAGGATAGTCACTGTCACCATCTACGTCGTTGACGCTGTCCGATCCGCCACTGAGACTCCCACGGGACGAGTCTTTGCACGAACTTGCGATCATCAAAGAAGAGAACTCGACCTCGCAATCGGCCTAGACGTCGAACTCCAAATGAGGATGGGAGTCAAATTCCTATTTGCGAGGGAACCCAAATTGCAAGGGCAATGGAACTCGAGATTGATTTGGGGCTCAGGGTTCAGAGGGAGACGAGTGTTAATTTCGTTCAGAGGGAGGGAGAGGACGCTGAGTTTGGGGCTTAGGGTTCGGAGGAGGAAGATGGAGACGATCAAAGATGATATTGAAATTGGAGCTTAGAGTTCAGATGACATTCTCAGCTTGGGGAAGGAGACGATGTTCACGGCTCGGGGAAGAAGACAATGGGCCTGTTTGGTTCAACTTTGAAAATACTATTTGGGGGAATGCAAATATCTTTGGGTGAAAGCCCATTGGGGAAATGCAAATGGTGTTTAGTAAAAATATTTTGTAAAGCTACTTTGGCCAAAATATAGTGTTTGGTAAATTTTTTTTGCAAATGGACTTTGAGAATTATTTTATTTATTAAAAAAAAAAACAAAACCTACCATCGCCGGAGCCGGCCGCGGCTGAGCAGATCTGGCTGCGCGGCGAGTCGCTCGAGGTCGGGCGACCCTCGGCGGGGTCGCACGACCCGGCGCGCCGCACCTGGGTCGCGCGACCCCGCCGAGGGTCGCCTAGCCTCGAGCGACCGCCGGGGCGGCAGATCGCGGCCTCGCCGGGGTCGTCCGACTCGCTCGTGGCCCTTCTCCTCGCCGGCCGCTCGCGCCGCCTAGTGAAGAACGACTTCAAACAAAAAAAAAAAAATATATTGGTGAACAAGCATTTGTGGAATGCTAGCATTTGGCCAAATGCTGAACCAAACACTCCAGCATTTTGGGAAGGGACTTTCGGGGCTCAAAGCCCCTTCCCAGAGCTGAACCAAACACCCCCAATATTTAGTTACGCAGAGGAAGAGACGTCGTTTTGCAGACGTGGACATATTTTCTCTCTCCTATTTGCCATGCAGGGGAGAGAAATGATTAAAATAAACCACGTCAACGTTTTCCGTTAACCAAATTTGACGGTGTTAACTTTATGACTTAATTATATCAATTTGATAAGTTTTATGACTTGATTGCACTTTTTGCAAGTTGTAGGACTTCTATTTCACTTATCCATTTTATCTATTTTGTGAAAATGGAGTGTATTTAGTTATACAAGGAGTAGAAATAGCTTCCGCATGCTATGTCGTTGTCGTCATGTATATACGTATTCATATTTTTCAAAAAACTTAAAAGCACACACCCGATATACCGATTCATACAAAGGTGTAAAGTGATAAATGTATTCCTATTCGTAAATCCTTTTATGTAGTTATAAGGACCTCGATCTTTATTAGATGATTAATTCTTTAATTTAATTTTTATGGGTTTTTAAAAATAATATAGGTTAATATCACGAAAAATTTCAAACTGGTATACCCGTGATAAATTTACCCTAAACTAATTTTTTAACCACAAAAAAACCTCCAAACTAGTATACTTGCGATAAATTTACCTTCCGTTAGTTTCTGTTAAATTTTACCGTCAAATTGATGAGTTTAATGAGTTACTCCTCTATTTGTCACATATTTACCAATTCATGATTTTTCGTGGTATTAATTCAATTTAACGGAGGGTAAATTTATCATAAATATATCAATTTAGGTTTTTTGTGGTCAAAAAATTAATTCATGGTAAATTTATCATAGATGTACTAGTTTAAATTTTTGGTGATCAAATAATTAATTCGGAGTAAATTTGTAGAGATATATCAATTTGGATTTTTCATGGTATTAATCAAAAGAATAATTAAATATCGGCTTTCCAATGTTTATAGCACTCAGCTTCTGTGAAACTCCCATACAAGCAGACGCCCACCACTAGGGTTTTAGCCTCATCTCTCGTGTGCTCTCCTCTTCCCATACTCGCTCTGCTATGGAAGATGCGCCGCCGCCGCCGTCGCCGTCGCCGGCGGCCCCGCCTCCAGCGGCCGCGCAGCCCCCCTGCTGGAGCAACATAGTGAAGGCCCAGCCTCAGGCGAAGGTTGAACCGCAGAGCAGCGCGGCCGCGACGGCGCAAAAGATCTTCGTCGGCAGCTGCAACTCCTCGAGGGGCGTGTCCGTGGCGGTCGTGGACGCGAACGCCATCATCGAGGGCGGCGAGAAGCTTCGAGCCCTCGCCGACAGGTTCGTCTCCGTCCCCGAGGTCATGGGCGAGGTCCGCGACCCCGTCTCGCGCCGCCGCCTCGAGTTCGTGCCGTTCTCTGTCGAGACCATGGAGCCGAGCCCCGAAGCTCTGAATAAAGGTTCTTTGATGGTGGAATTGGAATTGGAATTGGAATTGGAATTGCTATTGCCCTGGTATATAGATTGTTCAGGGGGAATTATGCATGCTTTGAGGCGTTATCAATTTACTGAGCTCGTCGAGCTAATTGAGCTGAAATCTCACTTTGCCCTTTTGTTTTATGGGCGTAAAAGGTGATTACGAGAGGTATTGGGGAAAAAAATTCGCTGGCATTGTCGTGTTAATTGAGCTGAATTGTCATCTTTTGGGGGTTTTATGGTGTAGAAGATGATTGTGAGAGGTTCGAGGGGAAAATTCTTGGTATTATGTTCTGTAAGAAGCTTTGGGAGATGTATAACTTGCTCATGAAAATGATCCGTCTGTCATAATTTTCTCATTCTAACGTAAGTGGTAATTCATAAGGAGTGATAGAACTGGTTTTGCCTGTCAAAGGAAATCAATGTACTAGAAATTGGAACCGCAGAACTGACTCAAACGAAATGGACTTGAGAAGTTTCGTTGAGGTTTGGTTCCTGTATGCAAGTTTCCAGTGCTCTCAGACCATAAATGACAGAAGCCAAGTTTGCACCAAGACAAATTGTGTAATTTACATGGATATTCATTGTCCATATCCATGCATAGGAGGAGACATACTTTCTGAGTGATGCCTCAATATCTATAAATGGCAACATGTGGCCAATCAAGCACGATTTTTTTTTTTTGTTATCATTGCTTTTATGTGTCCATTTAAATTTGTCATTTGTCCAAATCTATATTGATTTTTCCGCAGTAACATGATTTTATTTTTATTAATCGCATGTTAAATAGAATTTGTCCTATGATTTCAAATTTTATATATTCATTGTAAACTAAAACAAATCTGACGAAAAAAGTGGAAATACTAATTAAGGGAGCAAATGATGTAATAGAGTTCGGGTTTTCTGAAAATCAAAGCAGTCGTCGTAATTCCGTTTTGGTCTTAGCTTTTTTCTTGCTTATCGTTCTTGTATAGCTTCTAAGAGTGGGACTTTGGATGATTTTTCTTGCATATTAAATAGCTATGCTTTAGACTTTATAGAATGTCAAGTGACTTATCTGTTTTATGTGACTCGACAGTTATAAAGTTCGCACGAGCAACTGGTGACTTGCAAACTCTTTCCGATGTGGATCTGAAACTCATTGCGCTGACATACATGCTTGAGGCTCAAATTCATGGCATTAACCATCTGAGAGATTGTCCACTGCCTGTACATACAGTTAATATTAAGAGGCTTCCTGAGAATGACATGCCTGGATGGGGAAAAAATGTTTCTAATCTGGAAGAGTGGGAAGCATTAGAACATGAAGCTGAGGAGAAAGCAAATACTTCTTCGAGAATTCTACCACTGAAAGACTTAAACCTGAACATTATTCCTGAAGACAGCCTTTCTAAAGATGATTCCGCTGGTGATAATCCCTCTGTGGATCATGAGAATGCGGAGGGAAGTTCGACGAAACATAGAAGATTTCCCTCCAAGAAAAAAGAAATTACAATTGAAGGCAAGAAAATGGTAGCAGATGGAATTGACGCTTCTCAGGGACAAGTTGACGATGATGCTGGTGATTGGCTGCCTGCCGTCAGTAGAAGTACTCATAGAAGATATCTTAGAAGAAAAGCTAGACGTGAACATTTTGAGACGTTATCCGAGAAAGAGAGTCAACAAGATGCCGAGAAGGATATTGATGACCACTGTATTGACGATATCAAAGGCTCGGGAGGGCTATCACACCATTGTCCTGAAGAAGTGCTATCTGCCAACGGAACTTCTGAGGAGAGTGAGATCGTCAAAGGGGTGGAGGGCAGTGAGGATCTTTCTTCTATCTTGAAACAAATGAGATTGGAGGAAGATTCAGCATCAGCTCTTCGAGAAGAGATAGAGCATGACCTTTCTTCTTCAGTAATGGAATCTGACAAGGCGATGTTATCAGAATTAACATCTGCTGATGCAGCTGAAGCTGAAGCTGTTGGCCGAGATGATGTTGATAATGCCAGTGAAGAAACAGATCAATTGGAGAACTCAAGCCAGACTAATGAAAGCAATGATGCATCTTATTTAGATGATCAGAGTAGTGAACAGAGTTGGGTGCTGAGATCTTTGTCGGAGTCCAGCGTAGCTTGCATTACTGGTGATTTTGCAATGCAAAATGTTATTCTTCAGATGGGCCTACGCCTGCTTGCTTCTGGGGGAATGCAAATACGCCAACTGCACAGGTTTGTTTCTAAATATTATAGATGTAATGACATGGTGATTAACTTTCTGATTTTCTTTGACATCATCTCGAAGTTCTTATGGAGAATGCTAGCCTTTTGAATTTCTCATAGTTAATCCTGCAAGTTTCAGCTGAGCTCCCCTTTCACTCGATTCTTGTCCCGTTTTTTTTATCTGGTTATTTTGAAGTTGAGTTCGGCAATAGGATATCTTTACTAGTATTCGAAATTGAGGTCGTCTCATTCTCCAGATGGAATCAAATGTAGGAAGTGGTCAGCATGAGGTTAGAGTTCACTTGTTGTAAAAGTTTTTTTTTTGCCTCTTGCAGTTCCATCAGGAGGGACAAGAACTTGCAGAAGTAAGAGGCATTTTTTCTGGAAAAAAGTTATGGCTGGGGGAGGAGAGAGGGAAGGAAAGGAGAAAAAGAAAAAGGAAAAGGGGGGAAACAGAGAAGGAACAGAGAGGGGTAGGGGGTGGTTGAATCTGGTATTTCTATGAACTTACGACTGTTTTGTGGGAAACAGTGGTGCTTCTTCAGCAGTTATGGCTGTTGAATCTTTTACTTTCAAGCATAATGCTTTCATTTTTTTGGAGGGGTATGGTCACTCCCTTTGACCTGGACGTCACTGGTTTGAGTCACAGAAATAGCCTCTCTGCAAAAGCTGGTAGGGCTTTGTAATCTCACCCTCCTAGACCAGTGCACTGGGAAGCTTGTTTAGCTTCTATTGTTCTTTACTTATCCAAAGAAAGTGCAGTCTTTAATGAACTTCCGTGTCAGTCTACTCACGTTTTGTTTCATGTCCCCAGGTGGATACTGAAATGCCATGCTTGCTATACTGTGACTGCTGAAATTGGGAGAGTTTTCTGTCCAAAGTGTGGAAATGGTGGAACCTTGCGTAAAGTTGCTGTCACGGTCAATGAAAATGGAGTTGTGTTGGCAGCCCGTCGACCACGTATCACTTTACGTGGCACCAGAGTAAGTATATTTGGTTGCTGGAAGCTGCAATTTTTATTCTTTAATTTTAACAGAAGGCGGATGTATTAATCATTAATGTCATTGCTATGTTGAATATGGTTTTTGGTTTGTCTGAGCATGTCGGCTCTTTTTGCTGATTTTAATTTAATTGTTGCACTTGCACTCTTTGTTGCTATAATATGATTTTTTTTTTTTCCAAATATTATTGTGCTTGGTAATCTCTGCTTTTAAAATGGGAACCATCCCGGTTTTGCTTCATAACTATGATAATTTTCCAGTCTCTGAAACATCCATTTTCTTTCTGCAGTTTTCGCTGCCATTACCCCAAGGCGGAAGAGATGCCATTTCGAAGAACCTCATTCTACGTGAAGATCAGTTGCCACAGAAGTACCTCTATCCTAAAACAAAGAAGAAGGCAAATAAGGAGGTGAATTATCTTTCATAGCGTTGATCGTTTCATGCCATAGCAATTAACTCAATTAAAACTTGGAAACGTTCAAGTTTCTTTCCTTTTGCTTGAACTAATACAGCATATATTTCCGTTGTGCAGGGAGATGACTTCTTCACTTCAGATGATGTGTTCTCCTACCATAGTGATAAGAGGAGTTCTTTTCAGCCTCCCGTAAGGAAGGCCTTGGCGGTTTTCAGCGGAAAGAGAAATCCGAATGACAACCACTTTTCCCGCTCTAGACGTAGATAGATCTTTTGGCAATCTCTCTCTCCCTCTCTCTCCCTCGCCTGCTCGCGCGCCGGGGTGAAGGGGAAGGGGGTGGAATTTTTGTTGCCTAAGTGTTTAAGCATGCACCCCCAGGGTGAAGGGGAAGGGTGGAATTTTTGTCGCTCAAGCGTTCTAGGTTTTGCTTCAATAGAGATACAAATGCACCTGTTTTTATTAATTATGATGTGAAACATATCGGCATTACGTTGATTGAGTATAATTGTGTTTCGATATATGATGGCGATCTCGCTAAGTCATGATCTGGGGCTCCGGGATGTATTGTTCTCGTTTCCTTCATCCATAACACAGTTAGAACTGAATGCATAAAAGAAAAAGGGTTAATATCACGAAAAACTCTAAACTGGTACCTCAATGATAAATTTACTTCGAATTAATTTTTTGATCATAAAAAATATCACCTGAAACAAATTTATTATCCGTTAGTATCTGTTAAATTTTATCGTCAAATTGTTAAGTTAAATGACTCTTGGCAGTTGATGGCGGTTGACGAGTATATCAATTTGAGGTTTTACTACAGTTTTATCAATTTGTGATTTTTCATGGTATTAATCCAATTCAATGAAGGGTAAATTTGTCACGAGTGTACTGATTTGAGATTTTTGATTGTCAAAAAATTAGTTGGAAGTAAATTTGTAATAGGATAACCAGTTTTGGGTTTTCATGGTCAAAAAATTAGTTCGGGATAAATCTGTCACAAATATACCAGTTTGGGATTTTTCGCCATATTAACCCAAAGAAAAAAGGTAATGTCACTTATACTGTGGATTGGGAAGTGCGGGATAGGTTAAACCTAGTTTTATGGATGGAGAAAGCAAATTGGAGACACAAGTGGAAGTTCCCTACACAATGTACACATGGCCATTCAGTTATTTCGGTACAATGAAAAGCTCTTACAACTTTGTATGAAGATGGTTTGTCCTGGAAGAACAAGTACCTAAATTGGAAAACCCTCGCCGCTCGTGCCCATGGCAGTTATTTGCCATGTACAAGCTTATTGACAGTCGTCCTTGCATCAAGACCCTGATTCGGGCAGAGCCAAATGCTTAGTCCTGTACACTATATCACTGGTGTGGTTCGCCGGTGTTGATCAGCTGCCGTTCTTGGCATTCTTGAGGTTTCGTAGAGCCATAACCAGCTGCTGTCGCTCGCCCTCCACCTCGGCGAACTTGAGGCTTATTTCGGAGTATCTTTCTTGCAGATCCTTGAGCTCAAGCTCCATTGCCTCGTTCCTCTCCCTCAATAATGCCGATTCAGTTGGTAGCTCGTCGGAGTTGCCGGCACTTGAACCAGAGATAAAAGCTTCATTGTCCAAAACGATATCATAATGATCCCTGGAAGTAAAAGAATATAGAATGGATCAAGTGGGGAGCATGTTTCTTGTGCCGCAAAGAATGAAAAGGTTTTTCAAAACTAAGCACCAATTGTTACCACCCCACAAATACAAAGAACATTCATACAAAATGAACTTCAGCTGGCTAATTCATTGTACCCATGGGTCGCATTGCCATTTTCTCCGAGGTTGCGTGACATATTGCCCAAATTTTCTGCTAGAGTTTCCTTTTCTTCAGGTGTCACACTTGTTGGCGTGACTTCATCAATATCTTCAGGTCTCTGCATCGAAGATGAAGCATCATATGTGATTGGAAGCATCTAAGAAGCAGGGAGAAAACTCCGTGAACTCTGAGCGGAATGCAAGTCAATAACAAAGCAGCACATATTTAGTCCTCAACACCGAATTTCTCATATCCTTTAATGAACGTGCCTAGTAGCTCGACTAATCTCCCATTGATTCTGCAAATTAGGCACGATATTACTGATTGATCTCCTGCCTGAATAACTCCAGCTGCTTGTCTCATGTAAATCTCTACTTTGCACCAAGTACAAAGCATCTCTATGCATCATAAGACAAACTAGAATTACCTTTTCTTTCAACCTGCTCTCTAACTCCTCAATTATGTTTTGCAGATCACTTTCCCTGGCGAGGAATGAATCCTTCATGGAGTCGAATGCGGCTTGCTTTGATTGGATATGGTCCTGTCAGAAGCAGAAGTACAAGAGTCAAAACATGGCAGAGAGGCAATCATGAACTAAAGTTAATCCACCGTAAGGCAACAATCGAACAGCATTCTTATTCTTACTTTGCAATAATAGAAAAAATATTGATCACAAAAGTGAAGAGGTAGAATTACCTTTTCTTTCGACCTGCTCTCCAACTCCTCAATTATGTTTTGCAGATCACTTTCCCTGGCGAGGAATGAATCCTTCATGGAGTCAAATGCGGTTTGCTTTGATTGGATATGGTCCTGTCAGAAGCAGAAGTACAAGAGTCAAAACATGGCAGAGAGGCAATCATGAACTAAAGTTAATCCACCGTAAGGCAACAATCGAACAGCATTCTTATTCTTACTTTGCAATAATAGAAATGTTGATCACAAAAGTGAAGAGGTTCCCAATACCTCAAGCAATTTGATTTTCTCCTGGAGACTTGTTAGTTCTTTATTGCTACTAGAAACTTGAGCAGGCTTATTAGTTCTCAGAGTGCCCTTTTTTCCGTCCGAAACTACTGCTCGCCTGTTCCTCTTTTTCTCGGTCAAGGTGAATGCATCTTCCTGTTTCTTGAGATCACCCTTTGGCTTGATTGCTTGTTTTCTTAGCTGTTCTTTCCCCGATTTATCTTCAAATATTGAGCTTTTCGTGTCATTATGCTGAGCTTTAAGGTTTTCCAATTCTGACTTCAAGCTTTCAATAACGATGTCCTTTTGATCTTTCATTTGCCTCGAGGAATTTAACTCCATCATTGAATCCTCCATCTCTTTCTTCATCGAAGCAAGGGCACTGACCAGCTCATCTCTTTCTGCATTTCCTTTTTCCACCGCAATCTTGGTTTCGGCGAGTGATTTTTTCATCTGTTCCAACTCTGCAGTTAGATTTTCCTCTTGATCAGAGAGGAAATTATTGTCCGTACTCAGCCTTGTTACCTCACTGTGCAACATCGTGATCTCCTGCAACAAATTTATTTTACAGTCTTCAGTCTCATGCTCCTCCTGATGTTCAAGCTGCCTAGAATTCTCGTTGATTTCCAACACCATCTGTTTGATTTGATCTGTTTTCGCTTTTATTTCCCTGAACAGCTCTTCCATTTTTGCTTCGTAATTATCTTGAACAGAAACAAGCTCTTCATTAGCTTTCTGGAGTGTTTCCTCTAGTTGACTTTTCTGTGCACGCAGTTCTCGAGCTTCTGTCAATGCTTTCGCAGTCACTGCCTCATTCGCCTCGAACGTCGACAACATTTGCATGGAGAGTTTCCTGAACTCCTCCTGTATCCTTTCAGCAACATTTGTGTATTTCCGTTTTGTCTTCTCAGCTACATTCGCATATTTTTGTCTCATCTTTCTTAGAGTCTCCTCTGCTAGGATAGCTCTTTGCTCTTGCTCTACTTTGGCACACGTTATGTCTTCAAGAGCCACTTCAAATTCTGTCACCTGCTTCTCCAATTCTCGCTCCAAGCCATTAATACACGTTTCAAGTTTGTTAATGGTTGCTAGAGCATCTGAGAGAGATTCTGATTTGCTCTTGAGGTCATTCTCCAATATTTGAATATGATTTTCCAGTTCGCTTACGTTGGTCAAACATGAAGTGCATTGATATTGCATATTCAGTTGTTCCTGGAGCTGGAATTGTTCCCATTTGGACGACATCTCGTGATTTTCCTGCCTCAATATTTCATAGTCTAGTGCAAGCTGCTCCATCTGCATCTCCAACTCATCCTTTTCCCTCTTGCAGTTAGCTATTTCGGTACGAAGGTCATTGATATTTTGATCGAGCTGGGTTGGATCATTCGCATCTGTTTGGCCCTTAATGAGCTCTATCAATGCCTTCTGGTCCTCATCTTCAACTGCTTCGATTTCTGGTCTTTCTTGATCCTTCTGCTTCAACATGTCATCTAGTTCTTTCACAGCAAGAACCAATTCAGCATTCGAATCTTGCGTCTTTTGAAGTTGCAACCTCAGATGAGCATTGACCTCCTTCTCGTGACTCAGTTCTTTTCTCAATTCTACTATGACCGCCTGCAGATCTCCGCCCTCAAAATTACTTTTGAAGGCCTTGAGTTTCTCAGATTCTTCCTTGAATGAATCCCTCTCCTCCTTCAATCTAACATTTTCTTTTGAGAGCCTTTGAGTCCTTTTGGTCTCTTTCACGATTTGCTTGCGAAGAGTTTGCAATTCCAATTCTGAAACATCTGCTTGTCTAGCCGAAGCAAATAACTCAACCTTGAGCCTTTCAACCTCATTGTGAGAAGCTTCTTGTCCTTCGCTCATTTGAAAATTCTGAAATCTAATCTTCGAGTCATCCGTACTCAAGTTGCCATCAAGATTTAACGACCACTCCCACTTCGACCTCTGATGTTCTTGTTGTGCTCTGGCTGATTCATCTGCTATCAGATTCTGAGGCACTGAGGCATAACCAAGAGATGAGAGGAAGCTAGTCGGGCTGTGTTGGATGAAGTTTCTCGCTTTAAGCTCTTGAGGCGAATTTAATCCGGAGCTGCTCTCGGAGCTAGATATTGTAAGATTTGATCCACTAGACATTCTACATAGGCCGTGTAGATCGGCAGTCGTACTTAATTGTCCTTCTGGAAGACAGTGAAGGAGAATCTGATTATTTTCCTTCGGCAACTACAATGAAAACATATCAATAACATCAGAAAAACCTTGAAGAAAACCTTATACCATGAAATTTCTGGTACTTTATCACATATAACTAAAAGACGAGACTGTTCCTGCCAAAGAAATGAATGTTTTAATTGAAAATGTTGCCACAGTTCACTGAAAGCAATTGACTTGAAATGGAAGCATACATCAAGAGAGGTAGTCTCAGCGCTTTCGTCTCTTTTTCTTTCGCTTGCTTGGGTCCTGAAGCTCTTGTCTTTCATTTTAATTTTCAAATCTTCAGCTTCTTCCACCAATCTGCAGATGTTCGGGCAACGAAAAACCCTATTCAGACGACATTATCAGAACTATAAAAACACGAAAAACTAAATAAAAATGAGAAGTAAAGCTTGTGTCTTACCTATGATCAGAAATCTTCTTGGATTCTCTGGACACAAAACCTCTGTCGAAACACAAAGAAAAATTGAGATCTAATTATTGTCATCTGCACGCATCTCAGAAATTGTGAATTCACCTAGTAACATTTTCAATTGACAGTTATA